GGGGGGCGCAGTGGGGGGCAGGGCTGAGCAGCCACTCCTGATGGCCTGTGGGGTCACCTGGTCACCCACCTGATGGTCACCCTTGGAAAAAAATCTTTTTTTTTTAAATTATAGAAGTAACTTCAGTTTAAAAGGCTGATGAGTTGTAAGAGACTGAAAACACTCACGCACAATCTTCTACAATCTTGTCACCCAGAAATATTACATTTTGATATATCTTCTTCTGGTCAATTTTTAATGTATATTGATGGATTTTAAAAAATTTAAATGAAAGAATTAAAAGCAGGGACCTGAATATTTGTATACCCATGTTCATAGCAACACTGATCACATCAGGCAAAAAAAAAGGTGGAAACAGCCCAAGTGCCTATTGATAGACAAATGAATAAACAAAACAAGATCTAGGGACTTCCTTGGTGGTCCAGTGGTTAAGAATTCACCTACCAAAGCAGGGGACACAGGTTCGAGCTCTGGTCCAAGAGGATCCCACACGTCATAAGCAACTAAGCCCGTGTGCCACAATTACTGAGCCTGCAACACCTAGAGCTTGTGCTCGGCAACGAGAGGTCACCGCAGTGAGAAGCCGTGCACTGCTACTCAAGAGCAGCCCTTACTTGCCACAACTAGAAAGATGCCCTTGCAGCAACCAAGACCCAGCACGGCCATAAATAAAATTTTTTAAAATGTGGTCTATCCATACATTGTAAGATTTCAGTCTTAAAAAGGAAGGAAATTCTGACATAAGCTACAACACAGATGAACTCTGAGAACATTATGTGAAAGAAGCTAATCACAAAAGGACAAACACTGTATGATTCCACTTACACGTGGTCCCGAGAGCAGTCAAATTCACAGAGACAGAAAGTAGACTGAAAGTAGAATGGTGATTCTATAGCGTCTGGGGAAGAGGGTAATGGGGAGTTCCTATTTAGTAGGCATACAGTTTCACTTTGGGATGATGAAAAGGTTCTGATGGTGGTGATGGCGAATAATGCACCATCAGAACTATCAATGCCACAGAACTACTCATTTACAAGTGGTTACAATGGTAAGTTTTATGCTTTGTATATTTCACCATAATACAAGAAAATTAAAATGATTATCACATTAAATATACCTCCTTTCTCACCTTTCATGAATGCATCCCTATATCAACACGGCCATGTTATCAGCTACAGAGCACTATGGTGCATTAATGACTGAAAGGTGCAAGTGAAAGTTGCTCGATCCTGTCCATCATTTTGTGACCCGTGGACTATACAGTCCATGGAATTTTCCAGGCCAAAATACTGGAGTGGGTAGCCTTTCCCTTCTCCAGGGGATCTTCCCAACCTAGGGATCAAACTCAGGTCTCCCACATTGCAGGCGGATTCTTTACCAGCTGAGCCTCAAGGGAAGCCCGTGGATGACTGAAGTTTTAAAATAATCCTTTGTTTCAGTGCATCCACAGTCTTCTTGTGATTATCAAATAGTGCTTCTACAAAGATCCCTGCTCAAATATCTTTGTGCACATCTCACTATTTGATCACTTCCTAGAATAACTCTTAGAAGTGCACAGGTTTAAGGTCATGAATAATATATACACGAGTTACCCTTTCTGCCTGCCAGAAAGATCCAGCTGATTCATACTCCCTCTGGCAGCACACAGGACAGCCTGACACCATATACCCTCCACCACTCTGGGTTATTACCTTTTCATTACTTTTCTTGATGTTTTTCAGTTATAAAAATAATACACGCCTTTTTTTTTTTTTTTAAAGCTAAGCAATAGGGAAGTTTGAAAAGGTGAAAACAAAAGCCCCCTAATACTAAGCCTATTTCCAATCAGCTATTTGATAAACATCCATCTGGCAATACAAACACAAGGCTTCTCTTTATAAATGGTGGATAACAGTGACCTTCAAATTCGGAAGTTAATGATATGACCCCTCACGGGGCAGGAGTGGGATGAGATGGTTTACGGGACATGCTGGCCCACCACCGGGTACACGATGAACCTGGGCTAAAGGTGCACAGAACATCCCATCCTATCACTCAGGCTCTGAAGAACGGTGTGGTGTCCACTGCCCTCATTTGTGTGGACAGTGAAGCACCCTGGGACCCCTCAGGGAGCAGCAGGAAGGCGAGCTCCCAGGAGCACAAGAGGAGCTACCGCAGCTCTCAAAGAGAGCAGCCCCGACAGCCATGGTTTATGAAATGCTCGCTCTGTGCCAGCATGATCTTATTGGACCTTCGTAATGACCCAACGAGGCAGATTATTACCTTCCTCCCCATTTTATAGATATGAAAACTGAGGCTCGGAAAAGTCAGGGATCAGTTATGTCCCTTAGGTCATATGGTGCCTGAGCTGGGATTTTTTTTAATCCAAGTCCAGCCTGACCCCAGAGCCCATGCTCCATGACAGGATTTGATGGACCGTCTTGAGGGGCAACCCCCCAGCACTCCCTAAATGTGACCAACAGGGGGATGGGACGGCTGTCCCCTCTGCTCCCAGGGCCCCGCCCGACCCCAAGACTCACAGGCTATCTCACGGCGCCGCAGGCTCTCCGCCTCCTCCTGCGTTATGGACATCAACCGTTCCATTCTTATTCTAGAAAGAAAGTGACCCACGTGCTGAGCAAGTGTAACATTTCCAATAGGAAATCTCACCAGATGACCACCACCTCCTTCAAGAAGTCCTCCCTTATGTACCAAGCTGGACATGCCCTCTGATATGCCTGTGGCATTACGCACCTCCCCTGGGGCCCTGTTAACTTTTACAGTTAAGAGCTTGCGGCATAAAAAGATGAACATTCCTTTAGAAAAACAGGCCAAGGATGCAAACAGCCAATTCACTGATGCTTAAATAAAAGTGACCTTAAAAAAAAAAAAAGGAACATGTGGAAAGATTCTTAATACCGCTAATGACGAAAAAAGTAAGACTTTCTTTTCAAATGTTGGGTTGGTTGAGCTTAAGAAAACTAGATAATAACTGGCAATGGCAGTGAAGGGGGAGAAATGGGTACTTCATATACTGTTGAGGGATGTGAACAGTCAAACGTGTTTTGGAAGGCAGTCTGGCAATACCTAGCTAAGTGTTCTTCCAATATTTCCTTCTATAAACGTTCACCCAAGTCCCTAAGGGTATATATAGAAGATGTTTACTGTCATATTGTTTGTAATTACAAAACACCGGAAGCCACTTAAATGTTCAGAGGGCTAACTATGTAAATTACGATATAATTATATAGACATAGTTATTACAAATAATGAGGTTTTTGGCATGGAAATACATCAGTGAAGTGAAAATAAAAAAGTAACTGCACATGTGTGCATGTTGCTTGTGTGTACACCTATTCCCCACCTCCCATACACACACACCAGACTGGCGCAGTGGTTGAGGGGCAGACAACCTCCTTCACGTTTCCTGCAGGGTCTGACTGCATCAGAAGCAGCATGATTCACCCGAGCACTCAGCCCAGGCCCATAGGCCGTGCAAGGGAAGACCGCCCCTGCTGCATCCCTGGAGCCCAGGCCCAGTCCAGAGGGCACTGGCTCGGTGTGCTGAAGAGTCGATACTGCCAGCCACAGCTTGGTTCAGCCTTGACCACCCCCAGCTGCCACAGCCCCCAGCTGAAATGGGCAGGGTGCTGGGGCTAACCCTGCGACCCCACGTGAGCCCCCCTGCAGGAGGCCTGCCCAGGCAGTCAGGAGCCAGGAAGGCTGGGTCCATGGGAAGGGAGGCTCCTCAAGGGCAGCAGCCAGGTCCACACTGACACCCGGGGGTCCCTGAGAACCAGGAGGGACTCACGCGAACACCCCCAGGGAGTGGGGGGTGAGGCCACCCCACCTATCACCTTTTCTAATGACTAAGGGGGGCACCTTAACACAGCCAATTTGGAAAGTGCAGAAAACACAAAGGGAATGAAACAAAGATCACCACCTCCAATTCCCACCACTCAAAGATGTTCAGCGTAAACATTCGGGGTGGGTCCTTCTACTTTCTGAGCATAGATACAAGTAGGTTGTCTTTAAGAAATGATACACTGTAGATACCACTTTTCCACCTAGCAATATAGTGTTCTCCTTAACAAGGAATATTCTTCTATAAGACATTTAATGCTTACAGATTACTCCTCTGTACATAATTCATGTAAACAAATTTTTCTTTCCAGAAATTTCTTTTCTAACTATTTACACTAGAAATACAATTGGACATTAATACACATACATTCTTATTCATGTCTGAACTTTTCTCAGGACAGTATGTTTTAACAAACTTGAAGGCAGCGATTCTTTTTAATTCAGAGCTCCGTAAGGGGGTGACTCTCCTCATGATAAAGTGGAAGTGTTATCCACCAGCTGGGCCGACTCTGTGACCCCAGGGGCTGCAGCCCCTCTGGCTCCTCTGTTCGTGGGACCCTCCAGGCAAGAGTACTGAAGGAGGTTGCCATGCCCTTCTCCAGGGGATCTTCCTGACCCAGGGATCAAACCTGTGGGTCTTTGCATTGCAGGCAGATTCTTTACCATCTGGGCCACCAAGGAAGCCTGAATCTCCTCACAGCTCTAGGAAATCTTTCTGACATAACCCTCGAGAATCATGAGGCCTTCTCTCCCCAGGTCTGCTCACCTGCAGGAAGGCAGGCAGTCATTGAGAATGCGCTAGAGCAAAACACTGACCTTTCGTTTTCCAGAGACTTCAGAATCTCGGAACTTTTCTTTTGCCTGTGAAGGAAACCATGAAAAGCCGGCAGTCATTGGTGGGTCTGTTTCCAACAGAACTGCTGAGGGGGGGCTTGTGAACCGGCCACTTAGGGGCTCTGTGTTCTCAGGCCAATTCCTCAACCACTCCGAATCCCAGCTCCTCATCTGTGAAATGGGAAGAATATTTTTGTAAAGCTTCATGGAGTATTGGTAAAGTGTGAACGAGAAAACAGACATAAAGTGCTTCACACGTAAGCGGCAGCCGACAGAGGGCAGTTTCCTGGGTGCCGCCGGGGGTGGGCACACTGCACGTGGCAGGCCAGCCAGCTCCCTCTGGCACTCAACTGCAGGCGAGGGAGGAGGACTTGGAGGACAGTGGACAGAAGGCTGGAAGCAGCAGGGCGTGTGGCAGAGCCTGTTTCTGGAATCTTTCCCCAAGAGACCCCCAGTTAAACTTTCTCAGGCTTCTTGAGACCTCTATCCGGCCTGGTTTCTCCCATCGGAGCTTGCTCCCTGCGGCTCTTGCCTTGGACAGAATCCGTTACGGTAAATCTCACCATAAGGCAAATGGCTGACCTCAGAGTGACAAGTGACTAGAAAGCCAAAATATTAGAGCAGGATGTGATTTTAACTTGTTAAATCCACTCACTTTACAGATGGAAAATTTGGGAGGCAAAGATCCAATCCGTAGCAGCCCCCAAACAAGAGGCAAACCTTGTCATCCCTGGATCAGATTCTTTGAAGTGTGTTAGCTGCTCAGTCCTGTCCAGCTCTTTGTGACCCATGGACTGCAGCCCATCAGGGTCCATTGTCTATGGAATCCTCCAGGCAAGAACACTGGAGTGGGTTACCATTTCCTCCCCCAGGGGATCTTCCCAACCCAGGGATCAAACCCGCGTCTCCCGTGTCTCTGGCACTGCAGGTGGATTCTTTACCCGCTGAGTCATCGGGGAAACCAGATTCTCTTAAAGTCAGTGCCAAATGTAGCACTGAGACCTTGGGTAGAATCAGAGACAGTGAGAGAGAGATTGAGCCCCATGTGGGCATCACGCTGAGGGAGGCCTCTGGGTCTGAGGACCGGGGAGACGGGAGCCTGGCCTCCGGTTCTCCTGCAGGAGCTTCTGGATGAGGTTTCTGGGTCTGAGGACCGGGGAGGCGGGAGCCTGACCTCCGGTTCTCCTGCAGGAGCTTCTGCATGAGGTTTCTGGGTCTGAGGACTGGGGAGGCGGGAGCCTGACCTCCGGTTCTCCTGCAGGAGCTTCTGGATGAGGTTTCTGGGTCTGAGGACCGGGGAGGCGGGAACCTGACCTCTGGTTCTCCTGCAGGAGCTTCTGGATCCGGCTGGAAATGCTCTGCTCTGTCTGCTTCAGTTGCTCCTGCAGCCGCCGACGCTCTGCGTCCAGGAAGCGCTGGTGCTCACTCAGGCCCTGCTCCAGCCGGGACTGCTCCTGCAGCAGGACAAGCAGAGGTCTGGGGTCTGCTGGGACCCCTCCAGGCACCGCAGAGCAGCCAGGGGCCCAGGCCTGAGATGAGGAGACCAGGTTTCCTCTGCCTTGCCAGCTCTCTGTTGTCTTTGGACCAAGTCCTCCCCTTGCTAGGCCTGAGGGTGTCCACAAATGGGACACTAGCTAATCTGTACGGATGACTCCTCCCCAACCCTGTGTCCTGGAGGGTGGGCCTGAGAGAGGTCACCCCCACTGCCTTCCCACATCAGAGGGACCACAGCCTGAGTCAGGAGGCCTCCGGCAGAGGGAACACACAGGCCTGACCTCACTTAGCCGCTCACGAACCTCTTTGACCGTCTGAAGGATCTCATCCTTCTGGCTGTTGCTCTGCTGGAGGAGCTGGGCGTGCTCTCGCTGCCCGAGCTCCAGGCGTCGTTCGAACTCGAGTTTCTCCAGCATCTTCTGTTCCTGCAAGAACGGAGACCCTGGTGATGCTGGCACAGGCTCTGGGGGGTTAGCATGTGAGAGCTGCAGGGGATGGGCTCAATCTCTCCAAGCCTCAGTCTTCTCATCTGTAAATTGGGGACATCTTCCCACCCACCCAGGCTGGGTGAAACTGTGGAGAGGTGATATACATATGGGGCAACCGTTACTTTACCCTCTGATTTAGAGGTTGGAAGAACTTGTCTCCTCAAATATAACAGAAGAGATGTTTAATGAGAAGAAAAGTGACAGAGGACAAAAGACATCTTCTTACCTTCCTCTTCTCATAGTCTGAGAACCTATTCTGGGAGGCAAAAAAAAGAAAAGATAGTGGTTAACAGAAGGTGGGCAGCAGGGGTTCTCACTGGCCCAGAATCCCCAGGCAGCCTGACAGCCCTCAAACTTGCAGGTTCATCCAGAGGAACTGCCTTGGAGGGCTGGGTAGGGGGTAGGGGATGAAGGGGTTGGCTGTTTGATAAAGGGTTCTGGATGGTTCTGATGGACACCAGGGTTGAGAACCACAGGGCTTGGTTTAAGAGCTTCAAGTCTTAAGTTCTGGTAATGCAGCTCTGAGAAGGCATGGGTGTTCCAAAAAAGAGACCAAGAAATGGGTGTTTGACCCCTTGTACGTTTGCACGGCACACCTGCAAGCTCCCAGCTCCAGCCCCCAAAACAACTACAAATGCACCAAGGTGTGTGTGCAAGTTCCTGCAGAATTGTTCAAAAGAGTGAAAACACTGGAAATAACTCAAATGCCCATCAGCATGCAATTTCTAAGTCACGATTCATTCACACAGTGGATTATTACAGAGCTACTGAACGATGGGGCAATCATGGGTGCAGCTACAGAAAGATGTCTGCCATCTTTCACTGTCTGTACAGCATGATTCCTCTCTTGTAAAAGCACCACCACCAAAACTCAACTCCCAGCTCTGGGGTGGCTGAGCAAAAGCCACGAAGGAGATTTATTCATCAGTTCATGGTGACTGCCTCCAGGGGCTGGGACTGCAGGACAGGAGGGGAGATGCTCACTCCATATATTTCTGTATTGTTTAGATTTAGAACAAGGAGCATGAATTACTTTTGTAGTTCAACATCAGAGCATGCATGTGCACACACACACTTTTTTTTTTTTTAAACCAGCCTTTCTGTTTAGTTATCTGGTTCTGAGATCAGGATCAAGTGTTAGAGCTGTAAAACCAGCATCCTATAAAGAAATAAGATTTTCCCTGTGCCGAAGTACGAGTAAAATTTGAGCTTATCTTTAGTTTATAGATAATACCTGAATATATTCTCCTTGTAAAAAACTAAGCAAGGCATATAAAAGTATCCACTGACTACTCCCAGGCCTAATCCTTGTTCCCTCCCACCCTCCCTAGCCCTGCTCCCATGTAAATATCATTACTAGACCTAAGTCCATGCATCTACCTACCTACAATTTGTGCCTTTAGAAAAAAAAAATACATTTGTATGTGTTTGCATATACAAACATATTTTTTAATGAAGGTATAATTTATGTACTGTAAAATTTATCTTTTTAAAGACGTGTACAGGTCTATGAGTTTTGACGACTGCATACAGTCATGTGACCATCACCACAATCAGATGTGAAGCCTAGCTGGCTACAGGTGGTGCCCCCTCCCAGGCGCCTCGATTTGTGGGCTCCCGTGGAGGAGCATACGGGTAGGGGGTGGGGCACAGAGGCAGTTTCTGTCTGGCCTCACCGTCAGAGGCACCCTGGTCACTGTGGGCAACCCTCGCTGAGCTTCCTCCTGCAGCCCTGACCTATGCTAGGTCTCCCCCGGGGACCCGGGGGGTCCACTCCCCTCGAGCTCCATCAAGCAGGGAGACAGACAGGAAGCAAATCCTCTCTTGAGTAATTCTTCATGTAATTACAGCTGTGGCTGTAATGGAGTAGGGCCCTGTGGGGCCTTCCCAGGACAGATCCCCTGCCCCTTCACAACATCCTCCACTTGCCTCTTGTCTGTAGAGATTTTAGCCAAAGAAGTAACTTAAGAGAAATGAGGAAACACAGAAGCAAAATAGTCAAGCAAGACAAAATAATTGTTTAGCCATTAAACAAAGGCAAGAACCTTTAGTTCCTCCTCAAAGGCTACAGATAATGTTCTGCGTCATATTACTCAGCTGTTTTGCAGACACTGAAACCCCCACCAGGTGGGAAAAATGAGCTACATGATGACCAGACTCAGCCATGACATGAACTGCTCCATCTCACACAATTCCCAGAACTGGCCTCAAAGAAATGGGAACAAACCGACTCTGCAGTTACAGATGAACTGTGCCCAAAACAATCAACATGGTGCTGATCAGGTTTGCACAACCAACTTCAAGATGATGCTCTGCACGCAGCCCCCTCCTCTGCCTCCACGCCCTTGAAAAACCTCCCCTTTTAAAACCCTTTGCCCCCTGACCCACAGTGGGAAGCTGGTTCCTGGGGACGTGCATCCAGCTTCTCCCCAGGATAACTAGCTTCCCCAGTAAACCTATCTTTCTTTTCACCCAACACTTATCTTTCAGTGTTGGATTCCTGAGCGATGAGCAGCTGAACCCAAGTTCAGCAACATAGGTTCTCCCAGCAAATGCACAGGGTGCTCTGAGAACTTCCATAGACCTGACCTGGGCTGCTGCGTCGGGGAAAGCTTCTCAGAAAATGTGCTATTTCAGCTGGGAGCTGAAGGATGAGACTGGAGAAAACAAGCGGGGAGAATCCAGCAGAGGGAACCCCCTATTCAAACACCCCAGATGTTCAAGGACAGAGAGGAGTGGGACAAAGCTGGTCTGGTGAGCTAGTGGGGTGAGGCTGCCTAGGAGGCCTTGTGAAAACTTCTACATGTACAAGTGCTTAACTGAGTCACTTGGCTTCTGGGATTGCAGCTCCCCAACCAGGGATGGAACCTGGGTCACGGCACTGAAAGCCTGAAATCTTAACCACGAGGCCACTAGGTAAAGAATCCGCCTGCTAATGCAGGGAGACAAGGGTTTGATTCCTGGGTCGGGAAGATTCCTTGGAGAAGGAAATGACAACCCATTTCAGTGTTCTTGCATGAAAAATCGCATGGACAGAAGAGCCTGGTGGGCTACAGTCCATGGAGTCGCAAAGAGTCAGACATGACTTAGCGACTAAACAACAAGACCATGAGAAAACTCCCAGTATGTCCGTTTGAAGAGAGGTAAATTCTAGTTTGATGGAGGAATCTGGGGGCCAAAGCTCTGAACGCCCCTGCGTGTGCAGAGCCCTTCCTGCCGCCCACCCCACATGCCAGCAGGCGGCGTGACTTACCTGCCACTCCTCCTCCTCCCTGCAGAGCCTGTCCGTGGGCCCATCGGGGCTGTCCAGGGAGTTCTCAGCTCCATCCTGCTCCAGGACTGGCAGCAGGTACTGAGATGGGGGGTAGTACTCCAGCCCTGACTCTGCAAGAGACGGACACAGGCTGACCGACAGGGAAGGAGACCACCTTGCAACCCAAAGCAGTCCACTGCTCCCCTCTGATGCTGAGCCCTCCTGCGCTGCTCACAGGCCTAACGCCTGGGCCTTAAATGTGGCAAGCTCTCAATAAGCGTCAGCTGAGTGAATAAATCTTCCCGCCCCCTGCTTCTTTACCATCCATGTGAGAATGCGGAGATGAAAAATGCCTGTGCTTCGTAGAGAAGCCTGGGTTCAAGACCCAGCTTTACCCACAATTTCCTGGGAAGCTTCCTCCTGTATACTTGAAAGGATTCACACATTTTCCCCATTTTGTCCTATTCTTGCTGACTTATAAGTACTCTTTACACATTACAGTTAATAACCTTGGATCTATAACATATGTTGCAGCTATCTTCTTCCAGCTGGTAATTTATCTTTTGTTGTTGTTTGTGAGTGTGCTTGGTTGTGTCCAACGCTTTGCGACCCCATGGACTGTAGCATGCCAGGCTTCCCTGTCCTTCACCATCTCCCGGAGCTTGCTCAAACTCATGTCCACTGAGTCAGTGATGCCATCCAACCATCTCATCCTCTGTCATCCTCTTCCTCTTGTTTACCCATCAGGTTCAGTTCAGTTCAATCACTCAGAGTGTGATCTGAGTTCAATCACAAAGAGTGTCCCAACTCTTTGTGACCCCATGGACTGCAGCACGCCAGGCCTCCCTGTCTATCACCAACTCCCGGAGCTTCTTCAAACTTATGTCCATCAAGTTGGTGATGCCATCCAACCATCTCATCCTCTGTTGTCCCCTTCTCCTGCCTTCAATCTTTCCCAGCATCAGGGTCTTTTCCAATGAGTCAGCTCTTTGCATCAGGTGGCCAAAGTATTGGAGCTTCAGCTTTAGCATCAGTCCTGCCAATGAACACTAAGGACTGATCTCCTTTAGGATGGACTGGTTGGATCTCCTTGCAGTCCAAGGGACTCTCAAGAGTCTTCTCCAACACCACAGTTCAAAAGCATCAATTCTTCAGCACTCAAGCTTTCTTTATAGTCCAACTCTCACATCCATACATGACTACTGGAAAAACCATAGCTTTGACTACACAAGACCTTTGTTGGCAAAGTAATGTCTCTGCTTTTTAATAACCCATCAGGTTAGAAGACTTTTATCTCACCAAGTGTTAGCCAGGCTGTGGGGAAGAAGAGTCCTCTCAGATTTACATTCCTCAAGGATGTAAACCTATGTAACCTCTTCAGAGGCAATACAGAGTGCTTGTCCCTGTTCACCTACCAACCCCGCTGCCCTACCGGAGACCTGGATTCAAGCCCTGGGTTGGGAAGATCCCCTGGAGGACGTGGCATCCTGCTCCAGTATTCCTGCCTGGAGAAGAATATTGGAGTAAAGGCAAGAATTCCTGCCTGCCCACTGTGCCAGAGACGTGTGGGGTAAAACGTTCATTCCAAGAGCAAATGGGAAATAACTTTCAGTTGTTCCACTAGAAATACTCTACAGCAGTTTACAACAGACAGAGCCACATGTTATGGGACAGGAAAAGGCCCGGGACCTATTCTTAAGTGAAAAAGGCAGGGCATAGAATCACCTGGTACAACATCTTCTGTGGGTATTTTTCTTTTATGTTTTTAAGATAGCAAAACCAAATAGTTCACATACACATTTACACCTGCTGCGCTGTGCTTAGTTGCTCAGTCGTGTCCGACTCTTTGCAACCCCATGGACTGTAGCCCACCAGGCTCCTCTGTCCATGTGATTTTTCAGGCAAGAACACTGGAGTGGGTTGCCATGCCCTCCTCTAGGGGATCTTCCCAACCCAGGGATCAAACCCAGGTCTCCTGCATCGCAGGCAGATTCTTTACCATCTGAGCCACCATACTTCCTCACGTGACAAGCATCTTTCCCTGTTTCTCCTGCCAGATCTGCAGAGCTCTGGGCAAGCAGGGAGCCTCCACTGCCTCGTTGGCACAGAGTAGTCCCAGGGGCCATGGTTTGTGCTCGCTCAGCGAAGGACGCGGGCTGCCTGGCTTTATTTACCTTTGCAGAGGAACTGCTGAATGGCCTCAGTGCCCGTGCTGCACACCTCCTGCGGGGGGTAGACCATGGACAACACGTCGAGGCTCAGGGTCTGCAGACACAGGAGACCCATCTTTATATGTCGTTCACTTCACCGCTCAACACAATCAAGACGATCTTTAAAGAGATAATCAAGTTCAAAACAAAGTCACCAGTATGGGCCCTAGTCCAGCATGAACTGGTGTCCTTAAAAGATGAGGAAATCAGGACTCAGACGCATTCCAAGGGAGGAGGGTGGGAGGACGCAGGGAGAAGACAGCAGTCCAGAAGCCAAGGAGAGAGAGGCCTTAGAAGAAACAACCCCTCCGACACCTTGATCTTGGACTTCTGGCCTCCAGAAGTCTTAAGGTCCCAGCCTGGGGTGCTTCGTTAGAACAGCCCCGGGACAACACAGTGTCCCAGGTGACCGCCTTGCCCTCCGCCCCCAGCTCTGATGAATCACGATTTCTGCAGCTCCGAGCCAAGGCTGCTCCCTCCCTGCAAGCGCCCTCCAGACCCAACCACATTGGCTCCCCTGCTCCTCCCATAACACGCCCTGGGCTTTCCCACCTCCTGCCTTTGCCGAACTGTTCCTCCACCTGGAATGCTCCCATGACCCCGGTCAACTTCTCCAAAGCTTTCTCCTCTTTCAAGGTCTGGCTCAAACACCGTGTCTTTCACAGTGTTAATGAACCCATCAGGATTCAGCATTAGCTTTTCACTCTACTAGGAATATGCTTTGCTGCCTCCATTATGACAACAAGTCACCTAATTACAGTCATTCACACTCAGTTCTCTCTGTGAACCCCTGAGGACCTTGAGATCTCCATGACCTGTTATCCTGTGACCAGGGCAGGCCTCCAGGAACGTGGGAGGGGAGCGGCGGGCAGGCCAGGCAGGCCCCCAGGCGAGAACATGGCTCACCTACCTCCAGGGTTCGGACGTGCGCCAGCATCCGGGGCAGCCTCTGAATCTCATTCTCACTGATGTCCAGAGTGCGCAGGCTCCGGAGCTCTCCCAGCGTGTCTGGCAGCTCCTTCAGCCTGTTGTCTGGAGGGGTCCCAATGGCACAGCTCAGCACCCCACGGCCCCTTCCCCAGCTGCTGGTCTGACACCCGCCAGGACTGGGCAGAGGTGCGTGCCCCCCTCTGAGCCTGGGGCATACCCCAGCTCCATGAGAAAGAGCAGTGGAGTTTCAACGACCCAGGTTCAAGTCCCCGCTCCACCACTTATGAGCTGAGTGACTTTGGAAAACTGACTTGACCTCCCTGGACCAGTTTCTGCATCAGTAAAATGGGGGTGCCCACACTATTTGGCCTTAAAGGAATACTGAGGGATTCAAAGAGATGATGCATATGAAAAGGTGCTCAGCACAGGGCCTATCACATGATGTACCTATCACAGTAAGTGATTAGTAAATTGAGTGCTATTATGTTTATGATTATTTATATGTTACAAATGGGTAAACTACAGCATCCTGTGCAGAAAGAACTGAAGGAAAAGAGGAGAGAGCTGGGGGTACAGGGAGGCATGTGTTAGAATTTCAGCTCAGTCACTACCACACTGGCTGGTCTTGAGCAAGTCACGGCTCTCTGAGCCTCGTTTTCCTCATCTGTATATTGGGACTAAGACCTCCTTCCTCTCTCTCACACACTTGTGGCACCCCCAAGTGTGGAAGTGCTCCTCACTGGGTGGGAAGGGGTACTCAGAATGGCTCTCAGTCAGTCCACATTCTCACCATCCATCGCCCACGGTTCTAAACACAAGTGGTAGAGTCTTGGGGGCCTAGCTGTCAACACTGTCTGCCCTCCTCCCTGTAAGGCCCCAGCTGGGAGGAGCTGCAGGAATCCTTCAGATGCCCTGTCTCTGGTTACTATGGAGACACACCGACCACAGAGGAGGTCCGACAGTTTGAGTGACACCTGGGGGCTGGCTGCCCTCACGCTCAATGGGTCCCAGGACGAGCACCCTGGGGACACGAGCTGGGTCAGCTCAGAGCAGACCGAGGGTCATGTGGACAGAGCTTCCCGGCCCCCTACCTTTCACATTGAGGGTCTGGAGCTGGATCAGGTTCCCAATGGAACGTGGGAGATAGGTCAGTTGATTCCTTTCCACGTTCAAGACCTAAGAAAGAGGGAGAATGGCATGAGAAGGCACACGCACAGACAAAATGATGCCTACCCCACTTCTGACCAGGCATCATCCAGGCACCACACCCACATCTTTATCTCCTGACAGCCCTGTGAGGAAGACACCAACTGTCATGATCCCGTCTGAGAGATGAGAAAACTGAGGCTCAGAGTGGTGAAGTCCTGTGTCCAAAAGGCAATGCTAGACTTTGAACGTGGTTCTTGCTGAGGCTGTACCATTTATACTGACCACAAAACACCTGATAATAAGGGGATACAGGTGAGGGGGCACGTGATGAAGCCTTGTTATCCCAGAGTGAACAGAAGGAAGCAGAGCTGCATCCAGGCAGTGGGACCCGCCTGAGGCTGCGGGGCCAGCAGCTGGTGGAGCTGGGATTGAAACCTGGGCTGATCGGCGGCACCATGAAGTGAATGAGGCTGACAGGATGACACAAGAAGTAACCATTAAAAATAAACAGATATGATGGGAAGGCATGCACGTTAAAAATAATGTGGCAGATGAATATTCAATGAACCAAAGGATGGCTGTAAGTGGTTCTTATCAGGTATCCAAAAGTTACAGAACAGTGAATGCACCAATTCTACAAAAACACATATGTAAGAAAGGATGGCGCGTCCTCCTCTGTGAACTGGGGATGATGCTGACATGTGTTCACAGAGGGGCTGTGAGCAATCAGTTGACAATGCAAGTGAAACTCTTAGCTTGATGCTGGCATGCAGCGGGCGCTTGATAAATGCAAGGGGCTGCCACTGACAAGAAGCAGAAGTGGGACGCCAAGTCAGAGAGCTGACTTCATCATTTGGAAATGGTGGGCTCGCTGGGTGCTCTTTTTCTGTAAAGTTGTGGAAGCTAGTGATGCAATCCCAAACACACATGCCAAAAGTTCTGTGGAGAGATGCCCACAGCCCAGATTGCAATGCTGACACCACCCCTGGGCATCTCAATAGTAAAGGCGGAGGAGCTGGCGGCACCCAGGGCAGCCCGGGCCGGAGAACGACCAGAACATTCTAGGTCTGTGCGGCTTCAGTTTCTTACTTAGGGAGTCAGAGGTGGGCTGTGTCTCCTGCACCCATACCTGCAGGGCCGTCAGCTGCCCTGTGTCTTCGGGAAGAGCTGTCAGCTGGTTATCATGAAGATCCAGAACCTGCGGAAGGGAAATGAGTGGAGCACCTGAAGTCCCCGACTGAGAAAGCCCGCGTGATTTCAGGCACCAGGGAGACAGGCTGTGGTGGTGGTGGAGTGCCCTTGTGCCTCTGGTGTTCAAAGCAAGAGCACCCACCCCTTCCTCCCCAACTAAACGACCACTCCGTCTTTTTTATTTTAAGTATTATACCATTTCATTCTTATTTATCCAGTATGCGTACATATTCATGTTGAAAACTCCTCATGGTCTAGATATATATTTGCATAGTAAAAGACTACCAAATATGCAATAAAATATTGATAGCAGTTCTCTAGAGTGTGAAATTATGTTTTTCCTTATGCTTAACTTGTAGAAGGAAATGGCCTGGAAAATCCCAGTACTCTTGCTTGAAAAATCCCATGGACGCAGGCGCCTGGTGGGCTACAATCCATGGGGTCACAAAGAGTCGGACACGACTGAGCGACTTCTCTTTCTTTCCTTGTGCTTAACTGTATTTGCTAATATTTTTAACAATGAAAATGAGCAAAATGGAGTAGGATATATATATATGTACACATATAAAATGCATATATATGAAATATAAATATACATAAATATGAAAGCTTTTTAATGTTATCTTTCTTCCGCTTATAACAATAAAGAGAAGTAAGAACTACCCCTAATCCCTACACACCAGCATTAACCACAAAAATCACTTTGATGCCTCTGCGGCCAGTCTCTACACAGAGATAGAGATATGATGGGAAGGCATGCACGTTAAAAGCACGTTAAAAATAATGTCGCGGATGAATATTCCACGTAGCCTCGGTCACAGCTCAAGTTTATGGGGAACAGCCTGGACGTCCCAGCCTCTGTCTTGGGGGAGCTGACTGTCAGGAGGGGGTCCCCCAGCTCACCACGCTTCCATGCACCGACCACACGATGCCTGGCATCCCTCCTCTTGCTTCCTGTTTGGGCCCATCCATCCCCTGGTTCTCTGTCAGTCTGCCTGTTATGAGTTTATGGTTTGCCTTTCCACCTAGCGGGTAAGCTCCCTGAGGGCGGGGCTCGCAGCTGGTTCTCTTTGCAACCTCACCGCACACAAGCCCGATCATGCCCAGAGTCCTGATGACGTGAGGCGCGTCTGGCATACACTTTGACAGCTGAGACATGAAGGGAAGGGCATGCTGGCTGCCTCCTGGGAGCAGGGCCCTGGTACCTTGATGGTGGTGAGGCTCAGGAGGCTGCAGGATTTAGGGAGCAGGGAGGTGAGCAGATTCGTGTGGACGATCAACACCTGTGTGGGAAAGAGTTTCAGCGTGTTAGGCTGAAGGAGAGCTGCAGGGAGAGAGGCTGGAGGTGGGGCAGCCTTCACAGCACTGGACATCAGCAGTCAGCCCGGCCCAGAGCTCTCCCGTAGACATCACAAACGACGTCTCCAGACATGGGAAAACGAGATGACCTTAAACTCTGGAATCTCAAGACTGAAAGGGACCTCAGAGGTCTAATTCTTCCTTCCATCCTTTGAAGGGATCCCCGTGCAGCTGTCCCGACCTTAACGTCCCTCAGCTTCAGCAGCATCTTGTGGAAAATGTCGTTGTTGCTGTCTAGTCCCTCAGTCGTGTCTGACTCTTTGTGACCCCATGGACTGTAGCCCACCAGGCATCTTGTGTCCATAGGATTCTCTGGGAAAAAATACTGGAGTGGGTTGCCACTTCCTTCTTCAGGGGACCTTCTTGACCTAGGGACTGAACCTTGCACTGGCAGGTGGATTCTCTACCACTGAGCCACCAGGGAAGCCCCTTGTGGAAAACAGAGAATGGTAAGTTCCTGCCTCTGAGGGATGCTAACAAGCTAACAGGCAGAAAGCACTCAGCCCAGGGCTGGGACATGGTCGGACGCTCAGAGTCACATGCTACTACTTTTGTTAGGCGATGACCCCTGCGTGGACGCTCCCAGTGTCAAGCTCACGCCTCTGTGGGCATAGAACACATTTTACCTACCTGCTCTTGGACACTTCATTTAGAATACTCTTACCTACCTGCATTCAAGGCTGCAATGTCTTTCTGAAAAATCATTCATTCCACTCTTAACCTCCCCTAGTTGACTAGAATGAAATGAGTGTAATTTTTACTATTAATAACCATGTGGTTATTCAGGGTCCACTATGCGGCAGGCACTCTACTCAGGCCATTTACATCTCTATCTCTACCTCCCTGCCACTCATTTAATTCTCACAATAGCTCTGCAAGAGGAGAACGACGGATGTCTTCCTTTCACAGATGGAGAAACTGAGATGTAAGAGTGTAAGGAAGTTGCCCAATTCAGGAGGGGCCCAGCCAGAGCTGCCTGATGCCAGGGCCTGCTCCCCTGTGAGGACACCTGCTGCAGGTGGAAAGGGTGCCATTCAGAGAGAAGAGGGATGTCTACGCCAGGATCCCCACCTGATTTCAAACAAGCAACCATGCCATGAATAATTTTCTGAAAATGTAGATCCGTCTCACCTTCTTCTGCAGAACTTTGCATGTTGCAAAAGCCCCAAATGGAATCTAAGATGAGATAAAGAAGAATCAGTGCCTCCCTTCCTGCCAGTTTTTAATCTGTTTTCTGAGTGGCAGGAAGAAGGGGCAGGAAGTAAGTCTAAGCCCTGGGAAGGCTGCAACGGGTGGTCAGCCCAATCAGCCGTCGGGTGACTTCCCCAACTACCCACCCTATCCCCATCATGAACTCCGACGGGCAAAAAAAAGATCTCTGATGTCCTACAGAGAATCCCAGGCTCTCCCAAGGCCTCAGGAATCTGTGGGCACATTTTCTGGACTCTGTGACTCTTGAAGACCATGCTGAGGCCAAAAGATCATCTCAGTTTTCTTTCACAAGAACAAAAGCTAAGGAAACATCTCCTGACTAGAGCTTCTGGCCTCTTAAAGTCTCAGTCCACATCTATCATTTCCCAGGGACAGCAGAGCCAAGAAAGAGAGCAGATAAAACTTCACAAGCAGAACACCAACCACCCCACTTTACCTCGGAGAGCTCACATTTAGAGATATCAAGAATGTCATCTGCTCCAGCTTCTTTTGCCTAGGGATAAAAAGAATTAAAAAAAGCTGGGGGGGGGGGCAGTTTCTAGGACTTTCAGTGGTTAAGACTCCACACTCCCAATTCAGGGGGCCAGGGTTCAATCCCTTGTCAGGGAACCAAATCCCACATGCCACAACTAAAAGAGCCAGCGTGCCACAACTGAAACCCAGTGCAGGCAAATAAATAGTTTTAAAAAGAAGAAGAAAGAAAAGGAAAAGGGTTCGAGCAAAACATCCTTCCAGGGTGGACAAATCAGGCAAAGAAACATTGGATTAATGGCTTCAAAGAATTGCAGACACCCTCCTGGTTCAACTAGTCCATTCTGAAGGTGCACCAATGATCCTGGCTTTAAGTTGGCTCAAGGTCCAGCAGGGAAGAGTGTGAACAAGTCACACCAAGCGTGGTCAGTCTGCAGAGGGGAAGTGCAGCGTGGAGCCCTGCTGCCTGGGGCGGAGGTAGAGATGGGCATAGACTCGGAGGAAACCCATTTCCCTCACCAGACACATCTGGTACTCCAGGCGTTTCCGAGCCTCCTCACTGGGTTTCCGCTTCCGGAAGAAGAGTGGCATCCTTCCTTTTTCCTAGAGCGATCTTCACCACACTAGGGCGGAGGAGAGGGGTGAGGGCCTGGGGCATCTGTCACCGCCCCCCCCAACACCCTGGACAGCAGCACAGTAACAAGAGCACGGAGCTCATTTGCTGGACTATATGCTCCTTGAGGGCAGGGCCATGTCCATCTTGACCATCCATCTGTGCCCCGAGCCTGGCAAGGCAGGTGCTCAATACCATTTGTTCTTTGTTGGCCAAACAAGCAGCAGCAGGATGTGGAAAAGCATAACAGCAAGCCAGGTGACCTGGCTTTGAGCCCACATTTGCCCCTAATCCACTGTGAGCCCCTGACATACCCATTCTCTGTTCAGGGCCCCCATCTCTCCTCCACATTAGACAAGGGGGTTGATCTGGAGACGTTTCCTCAGGTCCTCTCCAAGGAGTCTCTTTGAGGACTCTCACAGCCTCGGCTGATGAATCACTTCTAACCCCCGAAACACTATCAGAGTGGCATCAGCAAACCACCAAACGCCGCATGGCTTTAGCCAGCTCTGTCCTTGATCCTGGGGAACTCAGCTACATCATAACCAAAGAGGTTTCTGAACTACTAATAAATAAAAATTCAAAAGCAATTCTCAGGTAATTTGCCACTCTCCAAGTTATTATGATCCCATTTGATTCTCACCACAGCCCTCTTTATAGTAACAAAATTGATGCTCATCAAGTTCAGCTATCTGGTTATACAGCTGGACTGTGGTCCAAACCAGTCTGGAACCTCTGCTCTGTCAAGTCCTGATCCCGTGGAGTTTGCCCAACTCCTTGGTGCTTTAATAACTTAGCACACACCGAGCACACACTGTCCTGAACTCACTGCCTGCCTGGTATCAGAAAATGTCAGCACTTGATACGGAACATCAGTGGGTCAGGATGCACTCATACACAGAAGCTTATGGTTAACAGCATGGACTCTGGGGTGATTTTGTTTGTTTGTTTAACTGTTTTTGAATCCCAGCTCGGCCACCCACCAGCCATGTCCCCTTGGTTCACCTCTCTGAGCCTCAGTTTCCTCATCTGTAAAGTGTGAGTAATATAATGTTCCCAACACCTGGTTCTATTTGGAGCCAGTGATTTCCATATTTGTAAAGCCCATAACACAGTACTTGGCACAGTGTTAATCACATACCACCACACATCTAACAAACATTTATTCAGGGCCTAGGACAGTAGAAAGAGCTGGGCAGAAAGGGGCCAGGGTGGAGATGCAGTTGAAGAAGACATATACCTCCTCCTCAGGGGAGGGGCAGAGCTCACAGGTCTCTGCCGACAGAGGCGCGGGCTGTCTGGGGAGCTGGCCTAGCCTGCAGAGCTGGCTCAGGTCCCTCCGGTTGCCCCAGCGGTCTGCAGGGATGGGGAATAATTTAAAACCAGCCCTCCCCATCTCTCCTTAACGACCAGCTCTTATCCTTCCGCTCCCCAATGACTAACCTTCCTCACTTCCTCCCCAACGGCCACCTCTCTTCCATCCCTCCTAGAAGATCAGCTCTTCCCTATCTGCTCCCTGACGTCCGTTCCTCATCCATCCCCTCCCCCGACGTCCAGCCTAGATGGGAAGAGCCACACTCATCCTCCCCAGCCTGGAGTGGGCAGTGCCCAACCTTGCTGTGCAGATAAACAGGTCCCTGACGGTCGTTCCCCGGGGTGGACCTGAGGGCAGGCCGATCACTCGCAGGGCTTGGTCATGGACGTGGGGTGGCAGGCCACTGGGCACTGCACGTTCCCTGCGGAGCAGAGTCTGGTCTCCTCCAAACGTAGGAATTGGGGATTGAAACTCAGAATCTCAGAAAGTCATGCAGACCAGGATGACGAAGTCTGAGAACGAAGACAGCAGAATCTTAAAAGAGTTAAGAGATGGACCGGATTTAGACTCTTAACAAAATTGTTCTAATAGCTAAAATGCATACATCACGAAGGAGTTAGAAGGTGGTCCGAGATGGCTGTGGCCGAGGTGTCTCGGAATGCGATGCGGACCCTTAGGAGAGGGGCGGGGCTCTGGGATTGGGTTATTGGGACTATGGGGTGACCCTCAGGATAAGGGAGAATGGGGAACACTGGGGCCTGAGATCTCGGGAGCAGTCCTCTGTTGTCTGCCTTCTCAGGGAGAGCTGCCCCGAACCCCCCTTCAGACCCCCTAGCCACAGCTCACCGCGGTGCCGGGTTCTCCAGCCGTTAGCCTCAGGTGCCTGCCCACAAGCAATATGGCAGCAAGGGCGTCGCTAGAAGGTTGGGCGGAGACAGCAGTTCTCGCGACAGTCGCGCTTTCGGGTCTATATCCGGCGTAATCGTCCCACCTTCCGGTCTTTCGGCTTTCGGCTAGGAGGAGGCGAAGGTGCAACTTTCTTCGGTCGTCCCGAATCCGGGTTCATCCGACACCAGCCGCCTCCACCATGCCGCCTAAGTTCGACCCCAACGAGATCAAAGTCGGTGCGTGCTTTAGATGTGGCCGGGGCTTCGGGATGCGGCATCCCTCCCCGTGTTCCGTCCGGCCTGCGGCCCCGCCGCGATGGCCTTTCCCGCGTCGGGCTTCAAGGCCGCTGCCCCCTAGGGGCTTGCCCTCTGGTGCTGCGTTCAGGGCGCTGTGTGGTCGTGGCCGAGTCTCTTACTCTTTCTGGCCCTCGGCTTCTCCACGTGTAGATGGGGAGGGAGGACCGGCCGACCTGTGGCGGCTTCACAGCCCGCATGCCTTAGGGTAAGGTTTGTCTCGGGCGGTTCTCCCTAGGCTGGGTTGGCCGGCGGCCGGGGCTGCCTCCAAGCCGATGCGGTGTGGGTCTCGGCAGCGGTGCCCGAACCCAAGGCCGCCGTCCCTCGTGGCGCCTGGAGCGGTTCTCGCCGTGGCGGGAGGGTTGTCTTGCCTTGCTCCCCGCTGAGGCTCTTGGCATTTTTCCGAGAAGAGGCAAACGGTGGTGCGGCCAGGCCCGCAGAGGACTGTGGAGGGAGGGCTGTGATTTGGGCGCCCCTTATTGCCTCGAAAGTCCCATGGACAGAGGAGCCTGGTAGGCTACAGTCCATGGGGTCGCAGAGTCGGACACGACTGAGCGACTTTACATACTTCACTATGCGGAGGCACTAATCCTTTCTTTCTCACAGTGTACCTGAGGTGCACCGGTGGGGAAGTCGGTGCCACGTCTGCCCTGGCCCCCAAGATCGGCCCCTTGGGCCTGGTAAGTCATCCCTGGAGGAGAAGGCACTTACTAGGACTCTCTCTTGCGCAGACACGATTGCCTCTGAGGTGTCGTTGATAGGGACAGATTGCCATCCCTCACTAAGCCTCTGAGCCACTGAACTGGCACCAGCTGCCACAGAAAGCTTGTCATAAAGGTGGAAGCTGGTGCTTGGAACCTGAACTTTTCCAGCGTGTCTACTGCTGCTCTCAGGGTACATGAGGGATGGGATAGAGGAGGTTTTTTAAGTCAGGAGTGATAACTGTGTAGTCTGCTTGGTCTGTTTCTTAGGGAAATAGGCATATGGCTGCTGGAGGATTGCATGGGGTATGAAATGGAGACCTTTGTGAACGTTAGAGTAGCTAATACTAACTCTGCTTTCAATCTACTGATTCATACACTTGGCTTTACTGAGTGTCCTGGAGAAGGAAATGGCAACCCACTCCAGTATTCTTGCCTGGAGAATCCCAGGCGGACTACAGTCTATGAGGTTGCAGACAGTCGGACACTACTGAGTGACGAACAGACACCTAGGGTCGGACTTAATTCGTCTCTTTTTTTCTTGAATGTAATCAGGTCTTTATTCTTTGGGCACTGGGCTCCCGACTGAGAAGTTAACCCCTCATGGTTTTGCTTAAGCAGCGGCCGCCTTACCTCTGTTGTCCCTGAGCTCAGCTAGTGCTCACTGGGTACCTCTCTCGTTCCGTTCAGTCGCTCAGTCATGTCCGATTCTCTGACCCCATGGACTGCAGCACGCCAGGCCTCCCTGTCCATCACCAAGTCCCAGAGTTTACTCAAACTCATGTCCATGGAGTCGGTGATGCCATCCAGCCATCTCATCCTCTGTCGTCCCCTTCTCCTGCCCTCAATCTTTCCCAGCATCAGGGTCTTTTTAAATGAGGCAATTCTTTGCATCAGGTGGCCAAAGTATTGGAGTTTCAGCTTCAGCACCAGTCCTTCCAGTGAATATTCAGGACTGATTTCCTTTAGGATGGACTGGTTGGATCTTCTTGCTGTCCAAGGGACTCTTAAGAGTTTCCTCCATCAGCCAGTTCAAAAGCTTCAATTCTTCATCGGTTAACCTCCTTTATATAATTCTCTTCAGGGGATTATTGCCCAGACCGCATCCCCATAGGTTGACTAGGATTGGTCAGACATCAGGAACATGGTGTCTTTAAAGATCCCCTGGTGATCCAAATGTAAAAGATACCACATAGATCTTTAGGAAAGGGTAGGTAAGGGACTTGGCCCCACTACGGCCTTAAACCTCAAGGTTACAGCCTTGGATAAGCTAAACCTGTAGCCTCATTTTTCCAATTTAATTATGGTGATAGCCATGCCTTGATTAGGTAGGGACAGTTGAACGTGTTTCAGAAAGCTTGCTTGTGTGCGCCCAAGTGAGAGGGACTGGGCAGATTTTCAGATCGGTTTCAGTTAGGGCACAGTGTGATTACATATACCTTTTATTTCTACAGTCTCCAAAAAAGGTTGGTGATGACATAGCCAAGGCAACTGGTGATTGGAAGGGTCTGAGGATTACAGTGAAACTGACCATTCAGAACAGACAAGCCCAGGTACTTGGTTTGAGGGAGGGCAGAGGTGGGGATACCTGGGAGGCAGGTTTTTGCTGACCTGCCACCAGTGGTGAGCTAAAAGCAATTTTATTTGTGGGGAGGGCTGTTTTGAGAGCATGGTTTAAATATTAACTCTTCTCACTTTTGAGACACTGGGCAAATCAGTGTTTGCTGGGATAGGGTAGGCTGTGTTTCTGGTTGTGAAAATTAGCTTGAAGGTACATTTGGTAAACAGTGTCTGGCCCATGGTTCCTGACAGCCAAAGTGCATGGTATTATTGCTTCTCCTTAGAGGGTGGCATAGGGTTTATTCACATGGAGAATCTCTTCTGCAGATTGAGGTGGTACCTTCTGCTTCTGCCCTGATCATCAAAGCCCTCAAGGAACCACCAAGGGACAGAAAGAAGCAGAAAAACAGTGAGTGGTTTTTTCCCTGGTAATTTGTGGGTGGTGGTGTGTCCAGTGTAATAGATAGCTGTACTTTCCCTTTAAGGAAATAGGGATGGCACAGGTGTTGGATGTTACAGAGCCAGGCACTGCCCACAAGTGCCCTGTGGCTCTCCCCAGTCACTGGTGTGGAACAGATCCCCTCAGCACTTACAGGAGGGAACTGTCAAACAGGGTGAAGAAACAGATAGCCAGTAACTGGGGAAGGGCAGCTTCCTAGTTGGATGACATATGGACAGCTTTTACCAACCTCAGTCACTTTTTTCTCTTCAAAACAGTCCCTTACATGTAAGGTTAACAAAACTTGATTTTGTGTCTAGCCACCCGCCACTGCACCTGACCAGTTTTCTGTTGGCTGGTGCAATCCAGTGGTGAGCTAAAAATAAGCCCAGCTTAGGAAACAGGGTTATTCTTCATGTGGATGACTCTGTGCCGAAAGCATGGGAACAGGCTAGAAATGGATGAGGGAAGATGGACTGTGGTCTGCCCTGGCCTCAGGTGGTTAACAAAGCTTCTCTTTTTTCTTTTCTGCAGTTAAGCACAGTGGAAACATTACTTTTGATGAGATCGTCAACATTGCCCGGCAGATGCGGCATCGGTCTCTAGCTAGAGAACTTTCTGGTAAGAGCAGAACAGTTTGGGGCCACCTTAGTTGTAACTTGAGATGTATTCGTTTAGTGGCCTTTTCCCAATTAGAAAGGGCTTTTTTACTCTGTAAGACCTGGAATTGGAGTGTCTTTTGGTTTGAGTCTGGGTATCATAGGATCTGTGGCCAGTTTTGCACTTGGAGTTTTTAAATGATACTGAGCGCTAAGTTTTCGATTAGGGGAGCAATTACCGATTACCAATTGCCAATTCTTTTAATCCATAAAATAGTTATTCCTTGTTCTTCTCCTCACCTGTATCCCCTCTGGTATCTGAGAATTGCGAGGGACTGACTTCCCCTCTGATTCCACCTTCTCTTTAATGACAGGAACCATTAAAGAGATCCTGGGGACCGCCCAGTCTGTGGGCTGCAATGTTGATGGCCGCCACCCTCATGACATCATAGATGATATCAACAGTGGTGCAGTGGAGTGCCCAGCTGTAAGTAACTTCTGCACTGATATGGTTAAAATTAAGGTGAAAACCCGAGGGGGAGCTAATGTATCCTTTGAGATACTATAGAAAGTTCTAGAAATGCTCAATAGTGGAGGGTAAAGTTTTTTGTCCTGTTATTGAGAGGTTTCTTTTTCCCCCCCACAGAGTTAAGAACTGCAAAGGAAAAAGAAAAATAAAGGATCATTTGACAACCAGTGGACTTTCTGATGTAGCTTCTTCCTTGTGGGGAGCCTAGTCTTTGTAGTCAAATTGTGGTCATTGGGGCCAAGGTGACAGATGAAGCAGCAATCTGTGGAGAACAGAATTCTGTCCTCAAGAAAATACTGTTGGTCAGAAAGAAAACTTGGGAGTTGAACATAATAGAACATACGAGTGGAAGAAGCTCTTCCCAAACCAGTTTACTCAGTTGGTGAGTTGCATGCCCAGGGCTTTGCTGTCCATCCCAGCACACAGCTGGGGCTCAGAATTACTGATGGGACAACCAAAGAACCTGATGTTTATGGTCCTTGACTGATCTCAAGTTGATGTAAAAGTGAGGTTAAAGTCTACTAATGTAGTTAGCAGTTATGGTTTAAACCCTCAGGGTTTGCTTTACACCAGTAACAGACTTTTCCCCCCCAAGCCTCTCCCTTGTCTTTCCCTTAGTTCTCTTTTTTATTTTCTATCTAGAGCACCTCATTTGATTTGATATGCAACAAATGAACATCAAACACCTGGGTGCTGAGACAGAAGCTTGAAATAGCAACCTGGAAGGGGCTTCTTTCTGGGTCCTTAACTAAAATGGGTTAGGAATGACAGCCCTACAACCTTCACTTCCAGTTGCTTTACTCTCCCATTTTTGTGTTTTGTGTGT